TTGGACCATGCTGGGCTGGAGAATTCTAGGACTTTGAAGTCCATACATCTTAAACTTGCCAAGGTTGAAAAACACTGTGCATTTCCCAATGTACATGTGTAAACACATATATACAACAGTAGGGAACCAGAGAAGACACATAGATGCAACATGTCACTTCACTAACCACAAGGAAATACTGATGCCTCGTAGAGTCACTACAGAGTAGATTGAAAAGAATTGTAGAAGCCATATTTTGCATTCTTTCCCTATCTTTTTTTTAATTGAATGATACTTCCCCTCTTAATTTGCATCTGTGAAGCAGATGCCTCTCTGCTTCCATCCAAATCAAATCATGCTCATCTAAGGGTCCTGTTCAACACACTCATTTCCATATGGGAATCTCTTCCTCTTGGTACAACTTCAGATGGCTGTGGTGTGGTGTGTATGAATACTGTAGCATGTGTCTGATCACAAGAGTTTCCTGATCACAAAGAAGTCACTCGCATATGATTCTGTGTTTGTGGGTGTACAGTATATATTTAGGATGAAATACATTAAGAAAATGATCTTTAGTTGCTCTTGCATATTGGGAAAGTATTATCTGAGGTGGGGGAATAAGATGTTTATGGGATGTTACAACAATGGCATCCTTTGAAGTCTCCACTGCCAACAGAACCTCAGGCAACTCCCTCTAGGAAATGAAGTTGGGATGATCAGATTAGATTGCAAAAAGATCCCAAAACTTTGAAAACATCTTTTTTGCTGCTACCTCATGGCTATTGGGAATTTTGCAACTCAGATTTGCTACCACTTGTGATTATCTTTTTCAAAGAGACATTTCTTTGATATTATTCTATGGGTATCAAATTGAGCATCTTGGATGCTTCCAAATGGAATGTCAGTGGCTCTTCTCAAAAACTTTATGCACTTGCTTCATTTTTTCTTCCACAATGGACTATCTTGTCATTATTAGATAGTCCAATGTTTGAAGATACAGTATGTGGAGTTTAATTCCCATAATTTCCCAGCTAGCGTTGTTGGCTGTGGTATTCTGGGAGTTGAAGTCTATACATCTTCAAGCTGCCAAGTTGAAAAATTCTGGGGTAGTCCATTCTGGTCTCTATGGATAAATAGACTGCTTCTGACTATTTTGCTGCACTCATCTTACAATCAAAGAATATATTTAAAAATTTTCCATTCATAGCTGTGTTGGATGCAGATATTTACACATTGTAGTTTCCAACATATACTGTACACAATATATTTATTTAAATGAACAATCTTCTGTGGGACCTTCTCACCTTAAGAATATATGCCTGTCCTACTACCTAAACACACTCCATACACCTTCCCTTTAATATTGCTAACTTATGGGTGCTTGGAGCATTCCCTTTTTAATTGCAGCCCCTGCCCCATGTCCAAAACCTCCCCACATTTTAATCTTCAGGAAAGCAGTTAAGTATTCTTTCTTCATGCCTTAACCTAGTGCAAGGTTGTGTGTGGTAGGAGACTGTGGGTCACATCAGAAAAGAGTAATTGCGATGCCCAGTTTTTCTATCTTATTTTTCCTCCTTTTATTCTGCATGTATTATAGCTTTACCTCCAAATTTATTCTGGATATAATTATGTGTAAAGTGTAATTGTGCATGTGGATATGGCAAATTCAGATTCCTGAAACAGGCTAAATACAGAAAGAATTATTTGGCAGAGCCCAAAATTTACTATAGTTGATGTATTTATAGATCGTTGGAAGAATAAAAAATGACATTGAGAAAGGAGGGTCTTTAAGATAAATTTTCCCTTTAGCTACTAATTTTCATAGTTTTAGTCACAAATTGACTAAACAGACCTCACTTCATATTTAAGAGGTCTAGAGAGGGAGCGTGCACAAGCGCATTAATGCACCCATTGTTCCTGTCATTGCATTTTTATATTATTCCTGTTTTTGTTTCTGTTTGAAAATTATAATAAAATAAATAAATAAATAAATTCCAGAATTTGAAATGTTTATATAGAAGACTGCCTGTTAGGAGGTACATATTAAAAAATGATACGCAGACAGAACAAATAAAAGACTGTATGACAAAATGGATGCAGAATTTTAAAGAAACAATTACATTACAACAATGGGAGGACTTACAGTAAAATTCATTCCAAGCTATAATGTAAAAGAAAATTGGAAGAAGATAATCGCATTAGTATTTCAGACTCAATTGTCTTTTTTTCTATATTTGCGATAAGAAAAGAAAAAAGGCAATTCAACATCACTCATGTTTATAATTAAAAGAAAACCCAGGATGGTTTTATTATTTTTCTGATTTTTGATATTAATATTTATTACAATAAGAACAGTCAAGCAGCATGGAAAAAATATATCTTAGCTACATTAACTTGATTGCCAAAAATATACACATCTTTTCCTTTATTTAATTAAAAATTACAGCAACGGAGGAGAAGGGAAGTGTTAGACACAGGCAAAGTACTAAAATTGAAACATCAGCATCAAAAGATGGGTAAAGAAACATACCCCAGTGCAACCAAATGTGGAACTTAGTCACCTTTTAAAAATTATTTCTGTTCTTTTCCTGCCAAAAAAAAGATTCTGGTATACTCTTCTCCAGTGCTCTTTCAAAGGACATTCCTAGTCACTTTAACCATAACTTTTCACCATGAATCTTAAATCCCATGATAGCTTTCTGTCACTAAAAATTTAAGTCATTTTCAACTTTCAGGCTGGGTTGAAGTCATATATTTTTGACTGACTTGAATTCACATAATACACTAAAATCATAACACATGACTGATAAACCACATGGTTGGGGTTCACACAATGCACTAAGCAGCAAACAAGTAAGTCATAGTTTGGCTTAGCATGGTAGGTGAACCCCAGCCCCATTTCTGTGATATTAATCCAGGCAACCAAGTTTGAAAGACAGGTGGTTCCTCTGGAGAATGTGCAGAGAGAGCAATCAAATGAACCATCATATGCAGAGGACCTGTGTGAGGAAGGACTAAAGCAGTTTGAAGCTTAAAAAAAATAAATAAATAGAAGAGACCTCAAGGGTCAAGTGGTCAAACCCCATGCCCTTGCATTATAACAACTATTCTTTGAGAAATAATCATCCAGTAGGGTTGCATACTAAGAATAATTTAGAAGTGCTTTTGATCTTGGAGAAGCACAGCACCTCTCTGCTGCTCATTAAAACAGATTAGACTGGACCTCTATCACTGGGGATGGGAAATGAGACTTAACCTCTATATTTATTTTTTAACCTATGGTTACAATTCTACATAAATTGAAATTAAGTCCCATTAAGTTCGGTAGAATTTACTACAAATGAAATTTACATAAGATTGCCATCCATATCGTTTTCCAATTACTACCTGCTCATTTAGGAAAAATATATGTGTATTACATATGTTATTTTTGTAACAAGACAAAGATAAGAAACAATAGAAATAGAAAAAGAGTGAATTATACCATTTCAATTAGACAATTTAAGTTCCGTTTTCTGTTTTAGAGAAGATCTTTACTTTAATATGCACCATCTTTAACTGGTTGGGATAAATAGAAGTTTGTAAATCAAGTGGTTGAATAAGATAATTTTTCTCATGGTATTAGAATTCAATAGACTAGCTGCATTCACTCATATACTAAACTAAGTTTATTCTTCGTGTTCACAGAAATAGGAAACTAAACCAAGCATGGGTATCTTAATTTTACATATGAACTCAGAATATGATATAATGCAAATAAATCAACAGTAGAGACTGGTTTAAATCTGAATTTCCAATTCATGCTAACCTAACCATGCCTGGTCTGCCTTTCAGCTGGGAATCGCAAACTGGTTGCATGCAATTCATTCAGATCACGGTTTGCTTTCTATGTTTATTTTGCACACTTTTTGTATAACTCCAATAACAAGACTCTGAGAAGCGCACATAAATTAGAATTTTCAAGCTTGCATGATCACTGATTATTAGTCACAAGATTAAAAATCAACAAAAAAAGTGCTTCTTACCTCAACATATCAATCAACCTATAAAGCCAAACAACCACTGGTGAAAAGTTAGCATTCTCTGTAACTTTGTTACCATCTAGTGGTCATCTATTTGCAGAGTGGAAATATAGCCCTATATACTAGGAACTTGAGTTTGCTGCCAGAAATTCTATTGAACACCAGGGGATAAAAGGCTTCAAACACAAGGGGAGAGGAAGAGGGAGGGAGGGAGAGGGGGAGAGAGAGAGGAGAGAGAGAGAGAGAGAGGGAGATTGAGAGTAATTGCTCAGGGTCTTCAATGAAGTTTGGACTCCTATTTCCAGCAATGGCTTCTTATACCTCTTGCCTGGAATCAACATTCCAGAAAGAAGCAGAAACGATTGCTGGTAAAATAGGAATTATTGTGGAAATATTTCCTCCTATTTTTTTTCTCAATATTTCTCAGGGATAGATTAAATTGAGAGATAATGACTAGTCCCAAATAACACAGTGGACTTTCTTCACAAATTTAGCCAATTCTGTATAACATGTTGGCTTTTTAACCTTCATATCTTCCTAGGCTAATTTCTTTAAGAGAAGTGATTAGCAAAGCAAGATTTTACAATCAAATGCCAATTTCAAGTTAACATTTGAACTGACAAGTATGATACAAAAAAACCTAGGAACCCTGAAAGGTAGGAAACTATAAGGTACCTCCAATTCATATATTTAAGAAGACAATGGGCTGTAAAAAATAAGTTATTATGTGTTGTTCTCTTAATCAACAAATTTTATCCAATAAAAATAGACTCCTTTGAGCACAATTCATGCCAAGTTGACAACAATACAGAAATGATTTGCCATTATCACCTTCTGACCCTATTTCTATTGTATTTCCCTGAAAATAAGATGGGGTCTTATTTTCTTTTCACCCCTGAAATATGCGCTTGGCCTTATTTTTGGGGAGGTCTTATTATTTTTGAGGTGCAGGAGGCGGTAAGCGTGGTCACCTCATGGCTGCTGCTGTGTTGCAGTATTTGGAGGGAGGGGTTATTTTAGTGCATGTGTTCAAAAGCCTTTATTATCTGGGGAGGTCTTGTTTTTGGGAAAACAGATATGCCTTATTCTAAATTTGCTGAACACACTGATTTCTGTAATTGAAAATTAAGTGACTGATGATATATTCGATTCTGTTATAGGCAAGCACTGTTCCACATCCATCAACCATGTTTTAAAGACTTTCAGGTTTATCTGAACTAGTGCTTGCTTGGGACTTTTTCAGAATTGCACTTGATTTTTATGTGTTACATACAGTATTCCTGGAGAGACAAGGAAGTGGTATTCCAGAATGTTCCACAAGCCAGCCTAACCTCCAAGATGGCTTTTTCCTTGATGCACAGTATAACTTTTTTCTCAAATGTAAATAGAATGTCTATACAGCCAAAATGTCTAACGCAGCTCCACAAGGTTTCTATTGCTGAAGGAAATTGCTGTATTGAGTTCTCCGTGGGAAGAGAAATGGAGCTTTGTAAAAGCACTTATTCCTTAGATTATCCAAGAAAGGTCTTTTCAGCCTTTCAAATTGCCACTAAGCACCAGCTGTTTATTTTCTCCTCCATATAATATGCTAGGAACCTTTCTGGTCATGAAGTAGTAGGGCTGTCAGATTCAGGCTTCAAAAATCCAGATACCACTATATGATAGTAAATATGTACACTTTTTTCCCATCCAGTAGTGATCTGGAGTTTTGCATCTTAGATTTGGAACCCTCCACCCCCCCAAAAATGGAATATTCTTAGAATGCTTTCAGAAAGCATCTAATTGATCTTTTGGGTGCAGACATGTCTTAAATATACCCTAACTGTGTTTCTGAATGTGTAGCCTTGAGTGCAAGAAGCAATAGTATTACTGAGTCATGTATATAATTCTGCCCTGTGGATTCTGCCACTTACAATTCATTGGGGACTCAATAGGAATACTGCATGGATGGCAACCCTTCAAGGTAAATCCAAACCCCTATAGGACAGGGCTAGTTTTATTGTGACAGCTATAATTACAGAAACCTGCAAGTCTGTATCTGCTTCTCCCCTCCCTTACTTTACCTTCACACTAGGGAAAGACAGAGATATTAACTCAAACTAACTTGATGGAAAGGGTTCAAAATATGCCAGTCTGATTATTGCCTTGGCTGTGATTCTTCCTCCTGCCCTTCTCTATGTCCTCTATTTTGGCCTATAGAGATCAGGTGGGACAAACTAAACTATTGTGTCTCTAGCCAGATGAATTGCCGATCAGGAACATTTGATACAAAGGATCACAAATTGAATTCAGCCTTAGTATCAACTGCTGCCCAAAGACTGAATTATCTATTCATTATTGATTTTCAGTTCAATTCATTCAGCCATCGTGGATTAATGGTCCAGGTGTTAGACAGGACTATGAAAACTCAGGTTCAAGTTCTCCTTCCACCATAAACTTCAGTGGATAATTTTAGACCAATAGCAATAGCAGACTATTCCAATCTATCTCATACTTTTGTTATGTGAAGAAAGGGGTGATTTTTATGTATTTCAACTTATGTTTCCGTAGGAAACATAGTATATAAATGTAAAGATGAACTATATTTCTGATGTTAAAACTTTTTTCAACTTTTGTATGGTAGCTCAACTGCGGATTGATACCTCCCATTTTCCGAGCACTTAAAGTCACAAAACATGGCCAAATGCAGTGTTGTGATCTTGTGCAATGAGGGCTTTGTAGAACTGTGCCATTCCTCAACATAAGGTTCTTCAGGTGATTCTGAACCACAGATCCCAGCATTGTCCATAATGGATTATATTGAATAGGGTTCCTGAGAATTAAAGTTCACCAATATTTGGAGGAATACAGATTATCCACCTTGTGGCTCAAAGCACAATACAAACAGAAAAAGCCTTAAAGGAGAAAAAAAAATATCCCTACAAAAGCTTTATGGGCTAGCAAGAAATCAGTAATATCAGATTTTAGAATGCAAGCCTTGAATGAGCAAATGTGCACTATCACACGGACAGTTCCTTCCCAACTTTTAATTCTCTTCTCCAAATGCCTTTTCAGAAATCCACTAATTATTACAATGAAAATATGGGGTCGAACATTCCTTTTCTTTTGCAATGTCTAGTTTCTCTCTCATTGCAGAGAAAAGTATCCCCCCCTCCACAATATTTTAGATAGAATGGTAATTATTTTCAGCTTTTGTATATTTAAATAACTCTTTTCCAAAATATTTTAATAATCAATTTGCTCTACTACTCCTTCTGGTGCAGCACTATATCAAGCATTTATTAATGGCAATATTTTTTTAAAAATCATATTTGCAATTCTAGCAGAGAAGTTGTAGTTGTAAAAAATCTTTTCCCCCAGCGCCAAGATAAGAAGACAAAAGTCATAGGATTATCAATTTTGCTGGTGCTATAGAACAACAATTTTCTGCAATGTGGTTGCAGGTTGCAATAAGAATTCTGGAGATACTGCCCATTAGTCGCCTGAAAAGGGGAACAAAAGTTGGATTTAGCCTCCACTTCAAAGTACTTCCATCATAACTCATAGCCATTGTGTATTATGGCAGCCGAATAAGGACCAAAAAAAATACTATGAACATGCTAATGAAGGACAAAATAAAACCGGAATGCACTGGTCTGGATAGATTTTAAAGATGAGTTGGCTATCTAAAGAGTAAGTGTATTGAGATGGCTTAGTTTTCTGATTAAAAAAACTATGTTTACACTCAGTTGAAATGTGAGTCAAGTGTTCAATCTGCTCCTTAACCTGTGCCAAAGCTGCCATGATTGGAAAGAAAACTTCCCAGTTGTCATTTGGAAAATTTATTGTTTTTGACAGTTTTTAGGAGCTAGTAAAACAACTTCAAAAGAATAAACAAACAAACCTTTAAATTGTGGGTAAGTGTGCACACACAAACTCAAAGCTTGGAGCTAAACGTATCTGTCTGAATAAAATAAAACAAATCAAAGAAAAAACATCATGAAAAGTTGCTTCGGTGTCTTATTTTTTAAGACTCCAACTCATCTATCTGATAGATACTTTTGCTTTGTTCAAACAATAGGGAAAAATCTCCCCAACATATTTTATACAACAGTGGTTATTATGGTATCATAAGTACTGGTACTTGCTCACCACCAGTGGTTGAAAATAGTGCAAATTGTAGCAGATGGCAAGAATAAACCTAAAATGACCGTATATTTATGGAAGTAGGAAAACTTTGAAAGGCCCTAGGTGATTCTATTACCCAGAATCTTTCTTTTTAAGAGATCTGGATTTATCCAACAAAGACAAAATTGAGCTGGTTTCCTCAGAATATCTGATCTTGCTGTCATTTCATTCCCCCCCCCCCCCCAATCCCTGGAAGGAGAAGGAAATTCATACTGTTGCTAAACCATCTGTTTACAAAAAGGAGATGGGAATAGATCTTCCAGTGATGGGAAGACCTGAATTCTCCTTAGATGGGATATGTGTGAGATCTGTTTCACAGGAAAGATGTTCTTACCAGCTGATTTTGGAGATGGTTGGAATAGCTCCTGCCATTAGACAAAACCTTTGTTCTGCCTCTTTGGTGTTGGGCTTTTGAGTGGTTGATGTGACAGAGAACAAGAAACTCTTTGTGAGTGGCTGGAAATAGCTCAGCACCAACTCTGGATTATTGGTAAGCATACACTATCTGCAAAGACTTCTGAAGGACAAAAAGATGAGTCCCTTGGTCAAAGATGGAGAAAATGAGGCCATTTCCTTCAGGTAGTTTTTTTTTAAAGACATGTGGCTGGCAGAGCTTTGGGGAAACCAAGGTAACTGTTCTCAGTTATGCAGGATTAGCTTTTCATTCCCAGATAAATTGTACCTCAGCAGGTGTCAGTTAAGGTGTAGACATTTGAAATGCCTATGGGAGTGAAATCCTTTGTGTAGGATTCATGTACATGGACCTCCAAATACCACTTTTCCAACCCTTCCAAGTTATTTATTGGAAACCTCAAAAACATCTGATCCTGTTGTGCTGTAGCTGGATCTTCTTACAGGGGAATATTGATGGATTTCTTAATCCTGATTTGGAAATAACATGCTCTGCAAAAATAACATTAATCACCAGGTGATTGTGGTTGTGTCCAGCTCATATGTCCCATCTTTGAGGGGATATTCTTGGATGGCAAACATTGCTTCATCCTTTCCATCTGAAGTGCAACGTTTTATGACTTAAGTGCAGAAGAATAGACCAAGCCAACAAGGGAAAGGAGGTGTTCACACCACCAGTCTCTTTTAGAAGGGCACTAAATGACAGGCTCAGAACCGAGGAACGTAGACTTCTGGCATGCCTCCGCTTGGCGTCACTGTGACTGTGGCAAGGAAGACTTTCTCGGAAGCCTTTCATATGGTTGCTCTACGTTTTGGGATCCAAGGTTCAAGGAGACTGTTTTCTTATGGCAGAGAAAGCAGCCCAGTATCACCAAAAGTTAGCCTTTGTCTTGCACTGAGGCACCTCCCTTTTCATTTATGCTCTAGAGGGGGGAAAAATGGCAAAAACAGCACTGTCTAAATTGGTGATATGCCAAACAATATATTAAGAAAAAACAACAACAACAACGGGAGGAAGAAAAACAGATATGAAACAATTCTCTGAGATTCTAACCCCAGGTACCTTCTAAATATACTTTTCATTTTTTTCATTTCCAGAATCCTCCACTTAGCCTTGTACAGTCTCTTTCCCATTGCATCCATCTGCTCATTAACCCATCCTTTCACAGAATGCATTCCACTGTATTTTGTTTCCCAACATTTACTTCATTATCTAGAATTCTGCCCAAATCATATATCCAAATCTGTTCCATAGCCATCTTAGATTCCCTACCAGACTTTCCTGAAAATTCACCTCCACCCAGTAGTAGAGCTAGATGGGGTCCTCATTCCAAAAAAAATGTCTTTTTCAGAGTTAAAGTATTTATGAACATGCTATGTCACCAAAGTAGCTCAGCTGTTGCAGGCAATACCTTGCTTCTGGCCTTCTTATAAGATGCTCACCATTCCTTTCTGGCTGCTGCTGTCGCCCTGCAGGTTGAGGAAAGGGTTTGTTTGGGCTGTGAGGACAGGTGGAATAACAGCTCCTGCTGCTGACATCAGGCTGTTCCCAGGGGTGCTGAGCGGTGGGGAAGCCATCAGTGAGCCGGCAGGATTAAGCTGTTGAGGGGAGATGGAGGCCAGGAGAGCACTGTTGGCAGCTGATGGTGCATTATTGCTGGAGTGGAGAAGGGACGTGGTGGTCACCGGGCCAAGGCCCGTCATGGAGGAACCGGTCATCTGGAGCCGCTGCAATTCTCTTTTGTGCTGAATTTGTTGAATCATCTGGAATATCAATGTCTGCTGCTCCTAAGAACAAAATGAACACGATCAGCTGCAGAAAGATTGTAGCAGCTCTTCCTCACATCCTAGACCAGAAGACTTAGAAGAGAGAGAGAGAGAAAAAAAAAACCATGCCAAATACTTCTGGTTTTATATGTATCTTATGGGGTTTCTTAAGGAAAAAAAATTAGAAAAGAAAAAGAAAAAATTGACCCAATGCCTTTGAAGACTGCTTGTATGAAAAACAACTGCTTTAGTTTGCTTTGGCTGCTTGGGTGCTGTATGTTTTTTCCCCCTCCTTTTGATCATACCAAATGCTGAAGGTGCTTTTGAAACAAAGCAGAAGAAATGAGTCTGAAATGGGACATTTGTAAACACTAAATAGTTTATCAATAATATATATATTCAAGCCTTAAAAAAAAGAGGGTAGATGAGGAGGCAGGTAATTGCTTGATTAAATTTTGGTTTTTCATAGGCTGATGGGTTTGGGCTACAAACCTCTGAATTAGCAAAATGCCCATGGAAATTTTCAGTCATCCAGATCATGGTTGTCCCAAAGATGCTTTTTTTTCCAAGAGGCAACTGGACTTTCTGATTTTCCTTTAAAGATGTTTTACTTTTGGAGCCGAAGAAGCTCCTTGGATGAGAAGTGAAATGTCTTCGAAGAAAAAAGGAAGTCCAGTTGCCTCTTGAAAAAGGCCCTTTTCGGACTCCGAATTAGCACTTCAGCAACTTTTAGCTCACTGCTGCCCTTTACTGCTTGCCTGGGTTTCGGGTGCTCAAATATACTCCTGTAGACATTTAACAGAAAACCATGGTTTCTTGTTACACATGACCACATCTGCTCCCTATCTTCATCTGGCATCTACAAGGAGATGAGAAGCGTCTGGTCAGGCTTTCAAAGAAAATTCTTATTATCCTGAACATGGAAACTGGGTTTTGTCTAAAGCCCAGGGACCCAGGGAGGTAAGAATAGCAGCCTGATTCTAGTTTGTTCTGTGATGTTGATAAAACATTGCCTTCTTTTGAAAACCCAATACCTCGAGAGTTGGTGCCCTGCTGTTTTAACTAATAGTCCTTCCTCAGCAGTTGTCCGATGAAATGTTACTTACCGGGTTGAGTGGCTGTGATGTTAGGAGCTGCTGCAGTTGCAGCTCAGGCTGGCTGAGCAGCTGCCGCTGCTGTTCTGACAAGTGAGTCACATTAGGTATACTGGAAGAAAGAAGACAAAAAGAATCGGGCAGTTTGTGCAATGCAGCACTTCTGCAAAAGACCACTTGAGTCCCACTACTTCAGAATCAAGACGCTAAAGGCTTGGAAAGCTCAGTTATTTCTCTTGCTGCATCAAACACTACCAGGCCTGGTTTACTTAAGCATTATCTCCTATTATTATTCTGTTTTTTAAACTGTTCTTTGCCATACTGGAAACCAGAATAACAGGATTCGGGCTACGTTTCACAAATACTTTAAAATACTTTCTTGCTTATATATCATGTATACCCTTCCCTAAATATCCAACACTGATAAAGATGAAGCAGCCTGGCTAACGCTGCTCTCTTTGTTCTGTTTGATTGATCAGCCTCTTTTGACCTCACTGACCATGCTACCTGCCTAGAATATGGTTTTACAATAGTTCCTCCTGGGTTGGGTAATACTGGTCAATGTATGGGCAGGGGAATCAACATTCGAGCCTATATCCCTGTCATAAGAAACCTATGGCACATGGAACCTCTCTACAGGCACAAGAGCTGTCGGCCTAACTTAGCTCCACCTCGCATGCGTGTGCACCTTCCGCCGGCCAGCTGATTTCTGGGTCTCTGCCGCACATGCACAGGGCGCATGTGAGAGACTTGCACACATGCGCAGGGGGTGGGGGGCATGCACGTATGCATGGGGCAGGGGGAGTTGCACCCTCTGTGCCCCATTTTTGGTCCTAGGAGGCTTCAGGGAGGCCTGCTAGGCTCAAAATGGGGGGTGGGGGAGCACAGGGGGTGCATGTGCATGTAAAGGGAGACATGGTGGAGGGGTGTCGCACATGTATTGCATTATGGGTGCGGGCATGTGTGTGTGTGTGCTGTTGTGTGCACACATGCGCTTTTGGCACCCAATGACAAAAAGGTTAGCCACACTGCTATATCCTTTTATACAGTATGCTATAGGACTTGACTCTTATCCCTTCATGAAGCTGGGAGAGGTCACCTATAGACTAGGATGAGGTATGCTACCATTTCTCATTCAGAGCCAAATACAAGCTGCTGTGGAACTGTTTATTCAATGTCTGGACGGGCTGTAAGAGTCTGGATGGGACAAAGCAAGGTGTGGATAAATCGCAACGAGACTGAATGGTTGCTTGTCCAGAAACTATGTGGTGATTGAATGATCTCTCTCTACACTGTTCCTAAAAACACAGGCCTGCAATTTGGAAATGCTACTCATTCTTGGCTGTACCCAGATGAGCAGATGGAATTGGTGAGCCAGGGGTGCCCTTGCCCAATTGGCTGATTCCCCCAGTTGCAATGCTTTTGGGAACAAGCAGCTCTGGTGTCATGTTCCTGCTCTTATTTTCTCCATATTGGTTTAATGGGTCTCCTGTGAAGCTATCTGAAATTGAAGTTGAAAAAAAATGTAGCAGGCGTCGTGCTGATGGGTCCAAGCTGATTGCAGCGTCACGCCTATTTTATGGGTGCTGCAAAGGTATTGATGTCTTTGACTTATGAAGTCCAAAGGGTAAAGTTTCAAGGTAACTAGGTAACCATACTTTATCATTTGAACCTGGCCAGCCTGACTGTTCAGTTTGGAATGTAAAGGGGATGGAGGTCTGGAAGCAATGCCTCTCTCTGCTCTTTTGACCCTTTAAATTATGTTCCTCGTGATGTCTTGCTGGCTCTTCTCTTTAAGTTGCTGTTTGGAAAGGACTTAGAACACAACTTTTCCAACAGGTGTTTGAAGACGAAGCTTCAAACTTCTCTTATTCTGCCAGCATTATTTTAGATTTACTGCCTTTCTGGCTGTCATTACAATATGTGTGGTTCTTATGGCTCCTGTGTTTTGATTATAAATCACCTAAAATATGTCATTATGGCAGTGAAAAAATATCAGGAGTAAATAAAAATAAAGTGGAACAGGTCCTCAAATTTAGGGCAAAAACAAATCCTTAATAATCTGCCTCCTAGAAGCTTGGCTTCTTTCTTGTAGTCTTCCCTCTTTCTTACCTGCTTTGGCTCATGGAGAGCTGCAGACCAGGGTGACCACTGGTTTGTGCCAGTACTGGATTCTGGGTCTGGGTGGCCAAAGTGCCATTTAAACTTCCTAGGATGCCATTGAGGGGGACCTGTTGCCCTCCTGCCAGGCTGCCAAGGAGACCATCCACAAGGCTGTGAGTAGCTGTGGCACTTCCCCCATGAACAGTCCCCATAGCTCTGCTCAGGCCATTCACTGGTGGTGGGGGTGGCTGCTGTTGGACCCCAGTAGTTAGAGGAAGGGAGGCAGGGCTTTGCTGCAGCAAGGGCAGAGGTGGTGGTGTGCTGTGGAAAGACAGAGAAGAGCTGCTCCTGCTTGGGCATCCTGAATGAAGATCCTGGAAGGAGAAAGAAAAGATAGGAAGGGAGGGAGGGAGGGAGAAAGGAGGGATCAATGTGAATCATCTACAGCAATTCTACATATATTTTTTTTAAACAGATATTCCAAACTCTATCAACAAATGGCATTCTGTATTTTTACAAGATGGAATATGTGTAGGAATGGGAGGTGCACAGTTTTACAAAAGTTATCTTGAATTGTTTACTATCACAGCTACTTTTATTTGTAGTCAAGTGTGTCCTGGTTCCAATTTGAGTAAACATCACCAATAAATTACCAAAACCAAAGTATCCTGCAGCACAAGAATTACTATGTTTTCCCGAAAATAAGACAGGGTCTTATCTGCTTTTGGCCCCTGAAATAAGCGCAGGGAGGTCTTATTATTTTTGAGGTGCAGGAGGCGGCAAGCATGATCACCTCATGGATGCTTCTGGGTTGCAATATTTTCGGGGAGGACTTATTTTCAGGGGAGGGTTTATTTTAGCACATGTGCTCAAAAGCCTGATTGGGCTTATTATCCGGGGAGGTCTTATTTTCAGGAAAACAGGTTAAGAGCTTTGTTTTTTTTTTTTTTTTTAAAGATGAAGGTAAAAATCTTGGGCATTTGAACAGTGCACCCAGTACTTAGTAATTCAGGCCCAGAACACTGATGTAAAATTAAAAATAAATATGACAGGTGGCACCAAGCTTCTGGCATCAGAATTGGCCCAATATATTTCAGGGTATGAGTCAGGGCAAAGTCAATGGATAATTTATGTGCAAATATAGTACCCGTGTATTTCAGTAACAGGTTGCACGCTCTTCTCAGTCTTACAGTCTCATTCAGTGGCATTCAGAATGTGTGAACCATGATGGCCTGCTAAGTGAAAATGAAAACCAGAAAAAGAGATGCTTCTTACCTCAGAGGAAGTGGACAGTGCATTCTCGATACCAAAACTATTCTTGCATGGGGAGCTCTTGCTGATACTAAATGAGTCACTGTTGTAGGCTAGAGGGGAAGAGAAAGAATCAAAAGGACATTCCACTATGCCGCTGTGCATCTTTTCGGCGAGGAGTCAGCACTGCACTAATTCAAAAGGTTTTTTCCCTTGGCCACACTATATTATTCCTCCGGGCGGGGGGTGGGGGGGATTCTGCCTGGAACCATGTTTTACTTTTCATTTTTAAAGTGTATTTGCTAATGATCTATTGTAGTCTCTTAAATTGCAAATTAGTTCAGAACATACAATTCACAAAATATTGCAGTCATAACAACAACAACAAGAACTCTAAAACCAAACCCATTAGAAAGAGTACATAGCAAAAGTGCATTAAAAAAAAAGAAACCAGCACCAACCATCCCTAATGCTAATGACTCAGAAGGTTTTGTCTGATGTTCAGATATTAGCAGTGATGCCTCTTTCAAGAATCAAAAGCCACTACAGTTAGGTTTGCTTACTGTTGGGAGCTAGGATGTATTGGGTCTGGCTTGGGGGGCCATTGCTGGTGGTCACCATTTGGAAGGGAACAGAGAGCTGAACATTTAGAAGCTGCAGGCGCTCCTTTTTAGCTGCCAAAGTCATGATCTGTTCCTGAAGGCGCTGATTTTCTTTCTGTAGTGAATGAAGTGCCTTGAGCATCTCTACAACTATGGGAAGTAGAAGCAGGACAAGGAAAGAAGAGAAAGTTAAGAATGGAAAAAGGAAGGGTAACAATGTTAACACGCTGTTAAAATATAGTACATATGAAATGGATTTACAGTTATTAAATAATCATGAACTGAGCATCTGCAGTAATGGCCACGAGCTACAAAATGACCCGTATGACCTGCCAATCAAAGTTCCAATCCTTTTTAATAGAATAGAACTCTTTATTGGTCAAGTGTGATTGGACACACAATGAATTTGTCTTTGTAATGCCTGTAAAAAGGAGCATGGCTTCAATCACCCTAATGTACTAAGGCATGCTTTTCTGGCTTCTTTTTAATAAGCAAAATTTATATATAACATTGTTAATTATATCTACTATGTCATTATCTCAAAGTTTTTCCATTGCTAAAATTTAAAAGAAAAATCCAATAAAGTATAACATGTTCCAGTAATATTAAATCCATGCAAATGTAACGAATGAAATATTAAGTCTAAACAAAATTATATTATAATGGGATACTTACATATTTTACAATCTAATTAACCTGACTACATGTACTTGTCTGTACAGTGTTTATATTTAAGGGTAAAATAAAATGAAAAGTCTGAAAAACTATAATCATACTAATTGAACATGGTCCGAAGAGCTGCACTTTAAGTGTATCTCAGTTGCTACAGGTTATTCTAGCTTTCAACACCCTACAATGATTAAGCAGTTAGGGAATAGATTAATCCAATTAGAAATTTCTAAGCTGGTAAAGGCAGTATAAACTCCTTCTTATATTTCATCTATGAGTTTGGTCAACATATTATGGATTCAGTGGAGCTGTACATGGTAGCAATCTCTACCCCTTTAATAGAAAGAAAGATAAGAAAATTAGACAGACGGGACTAATACAGAAATGGACCACATGGGTGAAGCCTAGGGCTACATGTCTAGAGCTCTTCCATATATTGATTGAACACATGATAAGAAAGTGTATCTAGAAAAAAGTGTGATGATGATCAACTGTTGGATTTTTTTAAAATTCTGAAATCAAAAAGTGTCCATTGGAAAAAAAAATAGCATAGGATTTTCCTCCGTCTTTAGAATTACTATTTCAAAAAAGAATTCAGAGAAAAGCATCTACAGTTTATCCCAAGGATGTGGGAAGATTTGAACTCATCTTCCCAGTCTTCCTTTCTGTTCTACTAGCTTCCAACCACAAATCTCCCATTGGGGTTAAACTATAAATCCCAGATCTCCGCCTAGGATCCATAATGATGAAACATGGTGGAAATTGTAGTAAAACTAATTAATGAGTCTCTTCCTCCCTATAATTGATAGAAAACATCCCAGATGGCAGAAAGGACTTAACCTATTAATGTCCACAATCATATTTGGAAGAATGATCTTAAACTCTTCCCTTTAAGAACACATCTGCCTGCTCCTGGATGGTATCAAGTTACCATTTTCCTTATGATGGAATAGTCACAGGGAAGGCTGCCCCATTGCAGAGATGAATGGAAGGTACTATAGAGGCTTACTTGACAAAGGCTTTACCTCTCTTTGGTCGCCTTAGTCTTAACCACAAGGGCACAGTTGTAGTCTGCAAGTTAAAAGCAGCCTTCCAGTACCCCTTCTGCAGAACTCAGAACAACCCTGGAATAAACAGGATCAAAATTTTTAGTTTTCAAGGGTTGGTGGGATTGTCTGCAGAGTTTTAGGATGCCTAATTCATTCCGCAGCCCCTCTAAGACTCCCTAACTTTAGGCCTATTTTTCTGTCTTGGTGGAATTTGGGAAGGCTAAAAAATCCCTGAAAACCTCTGAAAGTTTCTTCCAAAGAGCAAAACAAAAAACAAAAAACAAAAAAAAACACACCCCAAAACCATGTCTCCACTCAATCCAATGACATTTATATGTTGATCCACCACATCCTTTGCAGCCCTCAAAGACAATTTAAGAAAATGTGGCCAAAGACCAACAAAATGGCTTAATTTGGTATTTTTGGTATTTATTGATGCTTATAGGCCGCCCTTTTCCCTGAGGGGACTCAGGGCGGCTTACATAAAATAAAGGGGGGGGGGGTATACAGACAATAGACACAACAATACATAGAAGTAAAATAGTAAGCAACATTCATTCATCATTCGGGTGGGGACAGTTATCTTTGTCCCCAGGCCTGACGGGCTAGCCAGGTCTTAAGGGCTGTGTGGAAGGTCTGGATGGTGGTGAGGGTACGAATCTCCACGGGGAGATCGTTCCAAAGGGTCGGAGCTACTACTGAAAAGGCTCTCCTCCGTGTAGTTGCAAGTCGGCATTGACTGGCAGATGGAGCTCGGAGGAGGCCTAATCTATGTGATCTTATTGGTCGCAGGGAGGTAATTGGCAGGAGGCGGTCTCTCAAGTACGCAGACCCACTACCATGAAGGGCTTTATGAGTGATAAGTAGCACCTTGAAGCGCACCCGGAGATCAACAGGTAGCCAGCGCAGCTCGCGGAGGATAGGTGTTATGTGGGTGAACCGAGGTGCACCCACAATCACTCGCGCGGCTGCGTTCTGGACTAGCTGGAGTCGCCGGATGCTCTTCAAGGGCAGCCCCATGTACAGCACGTTGCAGTATTCCAGCCTAGAGGTCACAAGGGCCCGAGTGACTGTTGTGAGGGCCTCCCGGTTAACCCATTGATTCCTTCCACAACTCACTATTGACACCAGCTTCTCCATTGCCCTGTTTCTCCAGGAGCTGCTCAATGTTTGGTGTGGCCTGGGGGACATTTTCCAGTTGTCCACTGCTAGTTGATACCGTCTGGTCAAAGAGAGTAGGGAGGCTGCTGATGGGAGACCTATTTGCAGGACAAAGCATCATTAATAAGCAACATATTTCTTGGTTTCCTAATAACTATCTCTACAATAGAGATTCTGCATGGGTTTTGCAGGCATTTTTGTTACTGTCAGCTATAGGAAAAAGCTATCTGTCTCCTCTTCTCCTGTCAAGAATATCCTTAATTATTGAGTGTTTGAGGCTGCCTGGGGCTGCCTGGTTGCTTTCTTTCAATTATCTTAGCCTACAAACCTACAAATTTGGTCTCTTCTTTTAATTGATATCTATGATTCTCCAGATGCTGCAATCTTCTCCAATAGCAAATGTTCTGATTACAGAAGTAATAAAATATAAATAATTCCAGTTACCAAGATGAATTTAGCTGACACTCCCTTCTTTCACAAGAAAGTATGTATGTGTTTGCATGTGTGATACAGAAAAGATTGAAACTACCACACCCAAGAATTCAAGAATAATAAAACTATAGACATCTTTTAGGAAAAGTGCATATAGCCATTTTGGATTTAACTAAAACTTTCAGAGTCACTGTATGTACTAAAGACGAACTTTTATATTCAAATAATTTGAAACCAAAGAACACCACAACTGAACTGAGGATCCCAATGAAAACCCACTTCTGATTACCCCCAAATGTTCTTCATTCTAGCAGCATAATTTAAGGTAAGAGTGGGTCACTTATCAAGCACTTGCTTTTTCAAACAATTAATAATAAGAAATCTTTTCTGATGTACTGCAGATAATACAAAGTTCCCCTAAATATTCAAGTGTATCTTCTTCCATCCTTGTACTTCAGTTGTTATTGGGTACACAGAAAGCAATGTGAACATAGCCTGGTAAACAACCCACAAAAGTGTGGTATGTCATATCCTTACGGCCCTAGTCCACTAAACCCAATAGTTATATAGTTATGATCTGACAGTAGCAATTTCCTCCTTTGCCTCTGTTACCGTATCTACAATTGATGACCAAGACTTGCTTAAATTATCATTACCTATATAAATACATATTTTAATTATCCCAATCTTGTACCTGGGTTGTAGCAGTATTTTCCTCCTTGTTGTCAATAACTGTACCAGTATTTATTTGCTTGCTTGTTTCCTTATTCACTATCTACCCCAAACTTATAAGTGGGTCAGTAATAACTTTAGGGATGTTGAGAAGCAGACACATGCACTATTCTGTCTAATCACTGAACAGATTCCACCTGAGCCATTTCTCTCCCAGTCTTTGCTTTATTAGCATTTGTTTCCTGAGTTTCTTCCATACTCATCATCTTCCCCTATTTTCATATGTCTCCAAGCTTTCAACAAGGTACAGGAGAAAAGAGGAGAGGAGGGGCTAGGAGAGGAGATGGAGAGGAGAGATTGTGTGAAAATAAAAAGGAGGAATTATTAATGTCCTATATTTATCATTTATCCTTATTTCGCATATATAAACTTGGGAGATGCACAGATGGGATGTGGGATAGGGGAAAAAGACCAGATTCGAGATCAACTGAGCTAAAGTGATATTATCCATCCATATTACTACCAGCATAAAATTCCTATATATATATATATATCCTCTAGAGTTCCTCTTCTAGATTGCCATCAGATAATGGTGCTCTGATTTTGCTTAGGTAGTTAACTTAAAGCCTATACTGTATTCATAAACAGCATAAAGTGCTGTATATGAATGTTAAGAAGTGGTGGAAAGTCATAAGCCAATCACAGTATTGCTGGGATAAGAGATTTAATTAATTGATTATTATGATTAAAGAAAAGACTGTTGAACTTTATTTCCACTTGGAAACTACTGCTGGACTTCTAGCTAGAAAATGAAAGGAAAATTTAATTTTGGGATTTGAGGATTAGAACTGTTTATGACTATAGAAATATTATGTACTATTATTGATTTTAGAGTAAGAGGTTAATGTATTTTATATATGTATCTACTGAAGAAAATTGGAAATTATTCTCCTCCCTCCTTTTTTTTCTTTCCCGCTTTCCTTTCCCACTTTGAACTTCTGATTTTGCTTTTTTCTTAATCTCTCTTTTCCTAACCCTTTTTTTTGTTTATTGCCTTTTATCTTTTGCTGAAATCTAATATATTTTTTAAAAAAAGGTTCCCTGCAAGCTGATTGGTGAGATGAGGTGAGGTAAAGTGTTGTGTAGTAAGACCAGAGAGTTAAGTCACCTTGCTTGTCTCTGGTATAAGCAGGCTGGTTTTCAGAGCAGCTTCTTTGTGGAGTTTTGAAAGAGCAATAAACTAACAAGTGAACTATTTGATGATATGGGAGGACTGCCTGATAAAATGTGAGAAAAAATGATTTCCTGCTTTACTGCACTGCTCTCCCAGCTGCCAATTAATAGTTGGGCTGCAGAAAGCTCCCAATATGGAAGGGGGGGAAAATAGCACTGTCTCAGAATTGCAGGAAAAAGGGGCATCTCTTTACTCTCATATCTGCTGATTAAGCCATTGACAAAATAGTTGGTGAAACACGTCAACTTTTACTCTCCTTGACATTGTTATGAACTGTTACTGGTTTAAGAGGGGAAAAAACTACTTTGCAATAGCTAAAAATGTCTCTAGCCTCTCTCAATTATAAGCTGAGGACAAGAGAAAGGCAATGTCATGGGGATGTGGAAGAATAAAGAGATTGTTATTTGTAGCATGTTTAGATACAAGTAGTGGGACGTGGTGGCTCAGTGGCTAAGACGCTGAGCTTGTCAATCAGAGAGGTCGGCAGTTTGGTGGTTTGAATCCCTAGCGCTGCACAACCGAGTGAGCTCCCGTGACTTGTCCCAGCTTCTGCCAACCTAGCAGTTTGAAAGCATGTAAAAAATACAAGTAGAAAAATAGAACCACATTTGGTGGGAAGGTAATAGCATTCCGTGTGCCTTTGGTGTTTAGTCATGCTGGCCACATGACCACGGAGACGTCTTCGGACAGAGCTGGCTCTTCAGCTTTGAAACGGAGATGAGCACCGTCCCCTAGAGTCGGGAACGACTAGTACATATGTGCGAGGGGAACTTTACCTTTACCTTTAGATGCAAGTGAGAAAACTAAAATCTAACCGATGGATATTCTTCCTACTGGCAGTTGAACACGATGGTAACGAAAGTCAGAGGAGAAAATGAATCACCTTGCTTCACTTACCTAGCAAATGGTACATTCATAAATAGAGACAACATCATTCAGGAGTGACTTGGGACAAATACAGTACAGGCAGGACAGGAACTGTTAATGGGAACTGTAGATGCTTTGTTTTGTGCTTCCTCATGGCTTTTTAATGACTCTGGGCTGAGTGGAGAGCATGTCACTTAGAAAGGTTCTAAAGAAGAGTCAGGCAAATTTCTATAGCACGGAAACAAGAACATTCAAGTGGCTGGAGATGATAGGAGTTGTATATGAATAGATGGCTAAATTAGGGTTTGAAGAAATGTGGAAAACCAGTTTTTTAAATAAAAAAAGTAAACTGATACTGCTTTCTCTGCTCTCTAGTCTCTCTTTCTGATCTCATCCTTTCTTCGACATTTTATTATTGCCTTCCATATACCCTTTTTGGTAAAATAAACTTACATGGAAGAAAGACTTTCTTGGGGTGATGACCCACGGCAAGCAAAATTGCAGTCTTCCAAATCTGGTTCTGGAAGTGTAAACACAAGGAGTGATTTTTATTTTTTTGGTTACAACTTAGACAAATTGTACCCCCTTCCCCTTTTCCAGTTCTTGCAAAAGATTTATAAAAAATTTTAAAACATCTGGTGGCCTCTAGATGTATTGGACTTCAACTTCCACAATTTCCAGCCAGCATGGTCAAGCTCTCCCTAGCATTCATCTCCCTCCCACCCCCCACCCCCGATTCCTTCAGTACATCTTATCAGAGGAAAAACACAAGACTAATGACATCTTATGACAAATGTGTTTAGAAAGGATAGCTGAACAAGCAACGAGGTAGAGGAATAATATGGCCATCAAACTCTGGGAATCCTTGGAAAATGTCAAGGAACAGGTCTCAGGAGCTTCCTGATTGTGTTTACCTCTGCGTCCCACAAAATCTAAGGTGGCATAACCTGAATCTGTCAAATAATGGCTCCAGAAAGTGTCTCCCCCAAATCTTATTTCCCCAAATCTCCCTCTTTCCAAATCTTAGTTACATAGGAATGTATAGTATTTATACAATTAGTATTTTACACTATTACTATGCCTATATTTCTTTAAAATGGAAATCTTCTCCCTATAAAGCTCAGTTTCATTGTGTAACTCTTAAGAGGCTCGCAGCTACCTGCTTCAAGGGATGCTGTTGGTTTCAAGTGCCAGCAGATGGCAGGCGTGTGCAATCACAGTCACCCTGCAACATGTCTCATTTTCCTGGCACTTGAACATGGCTTGCTGGATTAACTTTCTTAGGAGCCCCAGGTCATGTTTCTGATGCTTTGGCTACTGTAGTAGGTTTGAGCTGTATTTTTTTTAAAAAAAAAATCTAGGGGACATCAGGTGGTCTGCCCTGTGCTGCACTGAGTTTCCAGATAACTTGTCCTTTGTAAAGAATGTGTTTCTGAACACAGAATAAATTTTGTCTCCCCCCCCCCCAATTGCTTTTACTTTGACATATGGAAAGCAAACCTGCTCTAAAGATCTCGGGGCGGGGGGGGGGGGCTTCTAAAAAGCAGGAACGAGAAGTAAATATGTAAACAGACCTGATTTTTGGAAGGCCATTTTCTAAAGAGAGCCATGCTTGCATACAACTTTTTTTTTCCAAAAAAAATCTGTACCTGTTCTGTTGTTTTCAGGTTGGTTGAGCAGAGGATTTAACGACAGTCCAGAGGTGAGGGGACTTCCAAAAATGTGTGAGGAAGGGAGGCTAAATGTGGATCCTGCCAGTGAGAAGACCTGTGAAAAAGGAAAAAGAAGAGGAGAATGAGAAACGCAATCATTTTGTTTTAAGAGCAGTGTTTTTTTCTCCTGCTTTTCCAAAAGTCCTTCATTAAGCTGAAAGGACTATCTCTTAGTGGAGAAGCAGCCAATTGATGCATTGGCTGGAAAGGATTCAAAACATTAGTCTCATTTCACTTAAGGAACACAAGCTCATTTTGTTTTAAAATGAATGTTTATTTAAATGATTTTGGTGTTTTTTTCAGCCAAAAATGTGGGATAAAATTTGGCTCTGCCCCTCTTCCTTTGTCTGGAGTAAATATATACAAATGAATGTATGGTATTAAATACGAAGCCAAACGCAACAGCTCTAACACACCCTGGATCATCTGGACTATATCATTGGAGGAGGAGGATAATCATTTCAAATAATAATCACATGTATGTATGTAGGTATGTGTGTGTGTGCATGTATGTATGTATGTATGTATGTATGTATACACACAGACATACACACACACACACACACACACACACACACACACACATATATATATATATATATATATATATATATA